TTGCTGCCTTTAGCAGATATACCAAGGTCAAGTGTCAGGCATGTAGCACTCGTTCATGTGGAGTCAAGAGCTGTCATACGTGACCACATGAGGAACTGACAGAAATCAATTGCTTAATCAGTGTCGTCTCACAAGGAAAAAAGCAGAACTGTAGTCATTATACCTTCATTATACTCACTCTTCAGACTGAGGTTATTGAAAAGTCAGCTCTCTTACATATTGAACATAAGGACTCACAATTCAAATTTTCTAGGTAAGTATCAGTCTTTAGTATCCCAAACAGTTTTCTCTTTTTCTCTGTTCGAAGTCATAATTACGCACTCAAAGCACATCAAGCCTACTCCAGTAATTCTGCCACTTTAACCCACTTGCTCATAAAAAGCTGTCACCACAGACTCCGAAGAGGAGCTACAACTCATCTATCTCCAGACATAAGGTATCATATGAGATAAGAGTGGCAGAAGCGAACTTGACGTAGGCAAGATGATACTAAAGCTTGAGTGACACAAAAATGATCAGCTTGGCTCAAGTCCTCTGTAAAGGCCTGAGACTACGTGGCAGGTACAATTGGCGGGCAAGGTACTGCTCCAGCAGGAGGAGAGTAAGGACTTTGTCCAAAGCCCACTGAGAACAGCAGGAATATTTCATCCAGTTGCAATGGGCTTTAACAACCAAAGGTAATGATCAGTGACACTTCTGTCAGCTTTTTAACATTATTTGTAATCTCCTTTACTTAGAATCATAGAATCATAGAATCGTTTAGGTTGGAAAAGACCTTTAAGATCATCCAGTCCAACCATTAACCTACACTACCAAGTCTACTCTAAGCCAATCAAGGGTAGATTCTATGGACTACACCAACTTCTATGGACTATACCAACTCGGCACCTTCCATAAAGCCCACGAGACTAATTACAATGCTCATTAAGATGCATAAATAAATCTCTGTCCTAGTAAATGGTCAGAGGATCACTATTTTGCTGTATTTCAGTGTTTAGCCAACAGCAGGAGACTCAAGTAAACTCTGATTTCAGGTTATTGCCTAACAAAAATTATTTCAAGCAACTTACAGGTAAGTCATATATACTTGCTTCTAAACAAACAGACAAAAATAAATCCAAATTATGAACAGCTAAAACTTAAGAGATCAGAATACCCATGTTAATGTCAAGGAAATGTTTCCATGCGCTGTTCAAGCCAGAAAGACTTTAATACCTTATAGAGGAAACTTTTTGCTTGGCAAGGAAAACGCATCCATGATCTTAGATTATAACAGAAGTAAAAAGACTATACAAGAGTTAAAGTTATTCTAGAATAACAGTTTTCTTAATTTTTGTTTTACTTATTTTTATAAAGCTCCATATACATACAGTGCTAAAGTACATACCCTTTCTTCTTGTAGTAAAGTCACCTATGGTTTGTGAATCAGTTCGCTCTAAACCATGTGGTTTAGGTCTTAAAATTTTAGGACTTTGACCTAATTGGTAAAAAGAAGACTCTCTTAATAATATTCTATTTTAACTGGAAAATGGAATTTTGTAAATAAACAACACAACCCCTTGCAGAAAGGTTAATGCCACAAGCATAAGCAAGCTGCTGATGGAAGAGTTTTACAGTCTAGCTAGGTCTCACACTAAGGGCTTAAGCACCAAACCAGAAACAAAGAAAACACTGCATGCAAGTAATTTGTCGGAGGCAAGCATAAAAGGTGTACAAAAAGGCTAAAAAGTGCATCAACAAATATTGTAACTGATCATTACTATTAACTGGTTTCAAGTTGCATTACATAAAAAATTCTATATTTGAGGAATATCTAGCATGACAGGAGAAGTCATGTTTCAGATGCAAGTTGAGGTACCCTCAAAGAAATTAAATCGTCTTTAGTCACAATATTACTTTGGAAATAGCAATACTCTTAGGAGGCTTCCTGCCCACTGTGCACCTCCCACTTGAGAAGCCCCAAGAATCTTTTTCCACATTGTACTTGTTAAACTTGCTCCCCAGAGGTCTACATCTGTCTGTACCAAAACCACCTCTCCAACCTTGCAGACACAGGGGGACTTTCTTTCCAAGCTTCCAGCCTGCAAACTGTCCCCCCACCGCAGCACAACCCAACCTCCACCACAAATGATCCTGTCATAAAATGACATTCTCTAAACCTTTTTTTAAATTGTATATACCAATATACAAGTGCAGTAGATGCACTAATCATTCCCCAATATGTTATGTTATCATACACTATCATGCTATCATGTTATTAGCATAACATTCCCCTATGTTACGCTATCACACAACATAAGACTTTAGATGAATCTGGTAACAAGGTGAAGAGTACAAACTAAGAGAATATTAGAGTCAATAAGCTCCCTACAGGCAGTAACATAACCCCTCTCCCAACAAGGAAGTTCTTAGCCAACTTGACCAAATTCTGCAAGTGTTTCAGGTCACATTGTCTATTTTAAATAAATATGATCAATAATGCATAATAACCCTAACTTTTCATGAAAGTCTATCTGACAAAGTGTTAATATTAGAAAAGGCAAGTCCCTTCAAGTGGTACACCAAGCAGCCATATGAAAGGTAAATCTTTAAAATAAACCAAATGAAAAGTTTAAGTCTGATTATGTTAGAAAGTTGCCCTACAGCACAAAATGGAAAAGGACTGGCACAGACTCTGATGTGGGCTGGTACTACGAGCAATGAGTGAGAACGCTTTGTAAAAAATAAACTTGGCAACAAACACCAGAAGTTTGCAAATCTCTACCCCAAGGGTTTTGCATATGAAGTGCTCTATTACTGTTATCACTGAAGTATTGGGAATAATCAAGTAACAACAAGAAAGGTAAACAGAAACGTTTTGTACTGTATCTTAACTTCTACACAGTGCTTCTGAGAGACCATGCAGGTAAGACAAAATTTATTTATTTACTAGTAGTGCTGCATAGCAACTTCCTTAAAAAGAAAAGGACATGAAGTGATCTTCACACACAGTTCTTCTCCAATTTCAAAATCAGATGCCCCCTTAAATGGCTTGAAGTACCGATGAAAAGACCAAGCAGTTGGGCAATGCTGACCAAAGACCCAGACTGTAAAGTGGTACACAAAGCAATTCCATAAAGTATGCTGTTGACTGGAGCTAAGTCAAAAGCGTGACCCAACATGTTGGCATAGTTCATTCTGAGCTGATTCGATACTCTTAAGTATCTTGCCAACAACTCCGTGATAAAAGCTTGCCTATATAAAAAGACCAAGATCTTAAAATCGATGGAACAAATGTAGGAGTTCAAAGTAAAACACCTTTTATTAAGAACAATTTGACGCTGAATATCATTACCTAATCATATTAAGTTTGTGTTCCACAGTTTTATAATCGTATTTAAAAGAAATTTGGCCCAATACAACTCAATTTAAAATGTCAATCAATGCATTGACATACGGGCACAGATTGTAAGTATGGTGAGAAATCTAGCAGAAGTAACAGGGTTAATGAAATTATTTAACCAGCGTGTACTTTATAACCTCTCTGCTCTTATAGCCAAACAGGCTGAAGTGCCTCAAACCCATAGTACAGAAGATAAGCGCAAGGAACTCAGGGCTATGACTCATTATTTCTACTTTTGTTAATGATGCTAATGTGGTCTCGTGCAGCTAACCTTCCTGACCTATGATTACCCTGTTTGTAAGATGTGGGTATTATGTAATTGCCTGCCTCATACTTAATTTAGCACTTATAAACCATTCTGAGACTTTCAGAAGAGCTGTATAAATAAGTACAGGTCCCTATAATATTTCTCTTCTGCATCAGACAAGAACATACAAAATGTTCCAGCATAAAATAAACTCGCTGAGCTTTCATCTCTTGCTGCTGAAAGACTGTTCAACCTAAATAAATTCATTGGCAAAACAGTTTGCTGCTACCAACCAGCCAGGATAATACAATTCCTCTAGTTTAATGTGTCCCAGAGAATTGAAGTGTTTGTGCAGTGTTTTGGGGGGCTTTTTTTGTTTTGTTGTTTTTTTTTTGTTGTTGTTGTTTTTTGTTTTTTGTTTTTTTTTTAAAACAACCACCCTACAAAACTAAAAACAAAAGGCCTAATCTCAGTTGAGGAGCTTATACTGTGCAACAGGAAAGACCTGACACCAGGCAAAGGAAAAGGGGAGGGGGATCACAACCACAAAACTGAGGTTACTTACTTGTGTCTGTAGTGCAGAATCCCTTCACCCCATTTTTGCCCATTTAAGAAGATAAAATAACACAAGCTAGGGCACAGAAAGCCCTTAATAATATCCCTTACTCCCTCAAGACATATTATTAATAAATCCATCAGAAATTTTAGAAGTGCCATTCTTTATCTAAAACTTGGCACTTGTGTCACAGCCAGATCTGTGAACAGAAATACCCGTTTTTCAGAACTTCTTAAGTACTGCGACTGAAATTCCTGGCGCTGCTCCCAAGTAACCTCAACTAATTTTCTCCGAGAGCACATCCTAGCTGAATGTAACACAGAGGAGAAGGTGCCTCACAGCTGCACAACAGACTGGCCTCCAACATCTGTTCTACTCAGCAATAGTCGCTAGAGGTAAGTGTCATAGGGCCATTCTTCACATCAGCTTAGCGAAGGTGGAAGGACAGTAGGTCCTCTATGGAGGGCCTGGCTCCATACAGCGTTCCAACGCCAGCAATACCGAGGAACACAATTCCCGTGGTTTAGGCCCACAGGCCCAAATTTACCTTGTCTAATGTTAGGCACTCACGTAAGACCATGCTTTTAACTTACAGACCCATTCTGGGAAAGATAAATCTGGGTTTAAAAAAAAGTTTTCTTTTTTTTTTTTTTTAACTGAAAAGGAAATAAATTGTGTTGCAACACCACTGGATGCCAACCTACGGGGGGGAAAAAAAAACCCAAATAAATTATGGCAAGTGAAACCAACCAAACAAGAAGTGAAAATTAGATGTTTTCATTGTTCAGTCAAGTTACCACCTGTGAAATGCAAAGTGCTACAGCCAGGAGAGAGAAGCTCAGCTTCTGCACGTTCTATCAGACGAATACTGTGCAAGGGCACCCTGAGCTGAAAAAATCACTAACGAAGTCTATTTTTCTAACAAATGGCTGCTTGTAAAAACTGCCAAGCAGAACAAGCGATTATGGATCTAGCGTTAGAGTGCACTCAGATGGCATGAATTCTGCTCCTGGCATTTCGGTGCGTGTCAATGCTGCCTTTGTCTGAGAAGTCATCAGGAGAAGAGTCCATTTCACATGTTTGGTTTTGTTTCAAGTAACGGTTTAAACTGAAAAACCTTTTGGTTTTTCCATCAGCTAATGTATTCTCTCCTCTTGTTTTCCATAAAACACTTGGAATATAATGCTGGGGGGAAAAAGGGGGGCCCACTGCAGCAAATTCCTGCATCAGAGAAGGTGGGTCCTAACATTTTTGCTTTTAAGGATGTAAGCCACTCACTGAAGAGCCTCATTTGTTTTCAGGCTATCGCCTTGAAGCACTAGTACTTAACAAGATTTCTGTTAAGAACACTTCTTTTCTGACTGCCTGCTTGCTCCATGGCTTGCTGGCAAGGGATTTTACATCAGGAAATTGCAAAAAACCTTCACGAAAGAGGCCAATGCTCTATTTAAATACCAGTTATTTAGGGCTTAAAATTTTAAATCTACTAATGTGACATAAAATTTCAGAAATGCGTGATCTGTTAATGCTGTTTCCTGGCCAACAGGACTAATCCTCACGAGACAAGGAGATCAGACGTAGGAATGCTACAGCAGTGCTTTACTTGGAATAGGAGGGGGAGAGCAAGAGGCAAAAACAGCCTCCTAAGTGCCCTGCATCCACAGAAATACTTTCAGAGAGACATAACTAACAGCAGTTTCCCGTTTCCATTAAAAAATACGCAACCTTCCCCCTTTTCTCTGTAATTAGAGGAAACTGAAATTTGCACCAAGGTCCAACAATTCCAGTACTCAGAACCACTGTAGATTTTTCCTTAAAAAACAAGGCTGAAGCTCACAGTCTTACTCCCACAGGGTTTATTATTTGGTTTTCAGTTCTGCAGAATAACCTCCCCCCTTTCCTTCTCTTCCTTTTCCTCACCCCAGTGAACTCTGATTCCCGAGTACATGGTCTTCAGCACAGAGCTCCACAAATATCCTGAATTTGCTTTTTCATCTCTGTTTTTATTAGACTATTTCCTGCCAAGGTACTTCTAATTAGAAACATGTATTTAGTTATACAACATTCATATCCATTTCCACACTAGTATCCAGCAACAAATACGAGTATCAATAATGCGCTTAGTTCTGGTCAGTGATACCAATGGATGGTGATAACTACAGTCTCTTCAGGACAGTAAAACCAAACTGAATTCAATTTATTCTTTCACTATTATTAAATATAAAAAGCAGTCATCTAAAGAGAGGCTCTCCAGTTTTCTTAGACATCTTTATCTTCTCGAAATAACTCCTC